GCCCTCCTTTTAAATTGAATGTTACGAACGTCAGAATTGGATTCTATTCGTTCTCATTTTACATGGACGGAGATATATATATATATATATATATATATATATATATATATATATATATATATATGAAAAAAATATACGGAAAAAAAAAAAAAAAAAATCCTAATATGCAATTATGCTGTTTTAATGTTAATATAATGTCAACGTCGGACGTTTTGGTCTAATAAACCATCACTACAATGTTTAGGTACCATATGATCTGAGCGAAAAGAATCTTTTGGATTGCATTTAATTTATAATTCCTGTATAAACGCAATGGAAATGCACCCTTTTTAAAGCAAATTGTGACAGGTGATGAAAAATGGATTGTTTACAACAATGTTCAGGGAAAAAGATCCTGGGGTAAGTAACGTGGGCCAACTTTAGCCACCTCAGAAGCAGGTCTTCATCCTAAGAAAGTTATGCTGCGCATCTGGCAGAATTGGAAAGGAATCCTGTACTATGACCTTCTGCCAAGTAACCAGTCAATAGATTCTGAAAAGTGCTGCTCACGACTGGATGAATTAAAGGCAGCAATTCAAGAAAATTACCCAGAATTGATGAATAGGAAAGGTGTTGTTTTCCATAAGGATAATGCCAGACCTCACATTTCTTTGGCAATCTGGGAAAAATTGTTGCAGGTTGGCTGGGATGTGTTTTCCCACCCACCATATTCATACCCCACCCACCATATTCACCAGACATTGCTCCTTTGGATTTTCATTTATTCAGGTCTTTGCAAAATAATCTCAGTGGTAAAAATTTAAATTCTTTGGATGAAAAAAAAAAAAAAAAAAAAAAAAAAACAATTTTGGTTCTTTGTCAAGAAACCACTAAAATTCTGGGAAGATGGAATTTTTAAGTTGAAGGAAAAATGGAGAAAAGCCTGTGCAACAAAATGGTTCAGATTTAGTTGAATAAATATTTAATGGCATAATTTTGTTTCATTTTTTTAATTTCCTTTAAAAATCAGAATGAACTTTCTGGACAACCCAATATCAATTTCTGTTACTATTAACACTTGTGTCGTTGGTTAGTTGGTTTAGTAGCATATCAACCTTTCTGGGTTATTTAATGCCAAAATCTGAATATTTTTTTTTTTTTGCACAATTTTGTGTGTGTGTGTGTGTATGTGTGTGTGTGTGTGTGTATAGAGGGGACATAATACTGGTTTTATTGATACAAGCCTTACTAATTACCCCATAGCTGGTGGAGAAGAGATAGATTCATACCTTTATCAAGGGGATTTGCACATAAGGGAATATAATAAACCCAACTGGAATTGGATTTTGACTCTCCGATTAACAAGTCCAAGTTTTTATCCATCACACTACCCGGTATTCCCAAGTGGTCATCCATCATTGCTTAACTTTGGTGATCATACAGGAACCAATGTTTCAACATGATTTTGGCCTTAAGCCTTTATACATTTTAACAATATTTACAGTTGAAATTTAAATAATGTAATAAATTACATGTGGATGCATGGGTGGTGCAATCAATAGTTGCTCAGAATGAGAAATTGGAGAGCTAAATTTGGATGCCAGTTGAATTTGTTACATTCACTTACATGTAAAATATGTGTTATTATTCAAACTGTTATCCTCATCTTCATTGCCATATTCACAACGTTTTGTCTGTTGTACGATCCTGCCTTTTTCAGGTGATCGGGATTTCAAACTGAACCCTTATTTCGTCCACCGGGGTAGATTGTCCTAGTTCTACATGCCATGCCTCTTCTGGATGTCTCAGTTATTTCCTTTTAACTCAACTCTTGAAGTTTTTGGTTCACCACTGCTGTGGCCTGGTATTGAACTCACAACTCTTTGGGTCTAGTCACTGGATCTAACCAACTTCTTTATTGTCGTGGAAAAAAACAATCTGGTGGATGAAATAAAGGGTTCGGTTTGAAATTCCAATCACCCGAAGAAGGCCAGAGTGTACAATGGCTGAAACGTGAATATGGCAATGAAGATGAAGATAACAGTCCAAATAATGTAAATAATACAAGTAATCATAATACCTGATCTTAGAGATATAGACAGATATGTAAAATATACTTGGGAAAGGTATGAATCCATGGGTAAATAGCAGAACAGACTGGGCCTTAGTTGGCAACCAGTCTAAAAAGAAAACTGTTAATTCAAACCAGCCTGGAGAGGTTTGGGCTCTGTCATGCTAACTTGCCCAAGACACGCCATTGTTGCTATGGCTGCAGTACATGTGATGTCCCTAAAACCCTTTGGTGTTACAGGACTTGTGATCATGACAGTTGCACTAATATCCTCATCTTTGTTATTACAATCACAATGTTTCAACTCTACGAAAAAATCAGGTGTCTGTTCATCTCAGTAACCTCCAGGGAATTTTGAACTGAATGTGGTAATAACAACAAAGATGAGGACATTAGTCTGAGACAAGGCCAAAATGGGGGGTGCATCCAATGGAAATCAAATTTACTATCAATGGTTAGTGAGATTATCTTGCTCTATGTCCAGGCCCATGAGATATTTTAACACAAAGTTTAATGCACAGTTAATTTCTTTGAAGGCCAAATTCATTTGCAATATTTTAACTTGTTAACACTTCCACCAATATGGATGTAATTAAATGCCTTTATAAAATTTATGTTGCTTGCTGTCAACATATACATACTAATTTGTGCTTAGTGCTATTTTCAAACTAGTGCACATATGTTCTGACAATCTATCTTGCTTCGTTTCCTTACTTCAGACCTTTACAACTAAGATCTACCCTGCCATTTGCACATGGATGAATCATCCCCATTCCTTTTGTATTCCATTGTTAAGAATGAAGTTCCATTTAGACAGCTTCTTCCCAAGAACTGTTGAACAAACGCCTGAGAGGATGCTCCCTTGATCACTACGAACTTAATATCTAGGGTCAACTGTCATCTATCTTACATATTCTCAAAATCTGCACTTCTTAAATCCTCCTCTTACGTCCATACAAGCTTATTCCACGACCCTCTACCTTGAGTGGCTCTTGGGCCTTGTACTGTGTGAAATATAATTAAAAATATCAAATAAATCAACATATAGTAACATACTAGTTTTGTGACATATTTTTATTATATTGTGTTAGGGGGTATTGTCATTTAGCTAAGTCTGTAATGCAGACTATCCTGTCAAAACCAAAATGGCAGCACCCACAAGAAATTGCTATTATAGCAATTTTATGTTTTTCCCAAAATGGTCCTGCACAGCCAGGCAACAATTCTATAAGAATAGAGTAGTGAAAGTCTCAGTCATAACTTTATGACTAGTGTTTCTGAGTATATCAGTTAATCCTTGTTGCAGACACCTGCTCAGGCATATTTGGGTTTATTCACCACCCACACAGCTAACCTGTAGTATATACAACAACTATGGATCTTAGTTACTGTTTCTGGGTAACCACATAAACTGTGCTTCTTACTCTGTAACCCTCTACCTCGAGTGGCTCTCAGGCCTTGTACAGGGTGAACATCATTGTAAAAAAAAAAAATCTGGCATAATAAGTAGTCAAATAAGGCCAGTATGCATAAACCTTCAATCACAGTGTCTCCTGACCACGTTAACTATTGACAGCTTCCAGTTTTGTTGACCCATTAACAATTTATTTGAGAATAACAATTTTTCCAGATACAAACCGTACTATTTAACCCATATTTAGAGCGAGGATATGAATTCATCCCTTTCCCAAGGGTATTTGTGCCTAAGTGAATGTAATGATACTGATTGGAATTCGAACTCAGCTCTCTGGATACAAAGCCACTATCCATTACATCACCTGCACATCCTTAATTACTAATATGGTAATTACAGTGAATTTGATTCTCACTGTGTAGCCTACATATCATAAGCTCAGTTACACATATAGAAGATGTTGGACAATGTTTAACCTTTGTATCTGTAAAAAAAGAAAAGGAAAGAAAGTTTATCAAAAGCATGGTTATTCCCTTTATAACGGTTTTTACTTTTGACTCCCCTCAGCAATGTTTATTTTTTTTAAAAAGTGATGAATTTTAATAAAACCTATACACATGAAAATGGATTCATACATTTTTTTTTTATTCTTCAGAATTGACGACAAAGACATTAAACCCTATTTAGTTATTAGACTGAATAAACAACTTGTTTTCATTGTTATTTATAAAATGGTAAATAATATTGCATTGTAGCTGGTTTACATATTTTGGCATTTTTTTTTTTTTTTTATAAATTTTTGAATAAAAAGATTTCTTTTTTAATTTATTTCTTAACAAAAGGTAAATAATAAATATCGCATTGTACTCGATTTGCATATTTTAATAATCTGGTAAATAAATGTTGTTGAAGGAGTCAAAAGTATATACAGTAATAATGGTGTCAAGAAAATAACTGTCCTTTTGACACACCATTTTTTGCAGGCATGAAAGTTAAACATTACTCGGATGTTGATAAAAAAAGTGAGAGAAAAAGAAAAAAGAGAGAAAGAAAAAAAAAGCGAGAAAAAGAATAACATGCTTGCAGATAATCAATATCAGATTACCAAACAAGAAGTTTGATTGATTTAATGTAATTTTTCTGATAACTTACATTGACAACTCCCCCTTTGCCTGAACAGCTCAATAGTGACATTTTAACTTTTCTGTTTCTAAACTGAAATATTTACATATTTTACTTATTTTCATGTGCAAACTATATTCATTCAATGCAATGAAAAGTCGCCAATTTCACAAGGCATATTGATAAGTCAGTTTGTGATTTGCAGAATCTTGGAGTAAATGGCCGAGTCGAAATAAATCTAAACAAGTTGAGTTTCTAGCCAGGCAATAGATTAATTTCAGATTGTCCGTACCTTGGCAGATCATTTGTCCACAGAAGTAAAGATTATACATTAATACTGAGTATTAAAAAAAAAAAAAAAAAAAAAAAAAAAAAAAGGGGGATTATTTCTGAGAATGAAATTCATGGTTTTAATCAGAAGGAATGATATGATAGTGGTGGTAAGAGTATTTTTTTTAAAACTAAAAGTACAAAAATGTTTAAAAATGAAAATGTAGCCCTTACCATAAATAAACTCAGACTCAAAAAAGAAAAAAAGGAAAAAGAAAAAAGGGAACAGAAAAGAAAAAAGGTAAATAAAAAGGAAAAAGAAAAATAGAATAAAAAGAAAAAAGGAAACGGAAAGGAAAAAAAGAAAAAGAAAAGGAAAAGAGAAAAAAAAGGGACAAAAGAAAAAAAGAAAAAAAAAAAGACAAAAGAAAAAAAAAGGAAAAAAAGATAAAAGATGGAAAAAAGAAAATACCAAAAAAGAAGAAAAAATAGAAAAAAAAAAATTAGAAAAAAAGAAGAAAAATAGAAAAAAAGAAAAATAGAAAAAAAGAAGAAAAATGAAGAAAAAAAGAAGAAAAATGAAGAAAAAAAGAAGCTTTTTTAATCTCTTTCCACAACATATTAAAAAGAAAAGAAAAACACAAAGGAAAAAACATGGAAATTACAAAATACCAAAGTTTTTTCCTTCATATTGAATATTTCAATTTTAAAATCCTCATTTTCTGCCGCCCACCAATACGAAAAAAAAAATGAACTTTATGATATTGATGATGATGTTGATGTGAGTAATACTTTTGGTTTTCCTAAGATTTGTTTTTTTACAATTATGATGCGACTGACATGAGATGACTGAAGATGAAAAAGAGTCACATTTTGGACGTGGAATGAATTCTGAATGGACATCTTGAATGATTAATGAATGTAAAAAAAAAAAAAAAAAATCTATATGCATTTATAAACCAGGCATAATGTATGCAATGTTGTCTAAAGTCTTGGAGAGGGTGGCTCGTGGACAGCCATTGATTTCAGGCAGAGCAGCAGTCAAACACATCAAAGGGCTAAATGCACAGAGCATGGAGTCCAAAAGCACAGACAAGCTACCCTGAACAGCTATCATACCCTGAAATTGACAAGAAAAAATGAGAAATAAAAAGAAAACAGCAATTAATTATTATGGTTTATTTTTTTTATATCATTCTAAAAGGAAATGGGTTCAGAGAGGGAGACAAAGAGGATGAAAAGTATTTAATAAGTAAATAATATATGTAAACAGAGGGGGGGGAACCAAGATAAATTCAAATAGTTGAAAAGAAAATCATTTTAATTAAAAGTCTATTTGATTCATTTAAAAAGTAAATAAATAAAAGGAATAAAAAGAAAACAGCAATTAATTATTATGGTTTATTTTTTTTATATCATTCTAAAAGGAAATGGGTTCAGAGAGAGAGACAAAGAGGATGAAAATATTTAATAAGTAAATAATATATGTAAACAGAGGGGGGGGGGAACCAAGATAAATTCAAATAGTTGAGAAGCAATAAGAAAATCATCTCATTAATTAAAAGTCTATTTGATTCATTTAAAAAGTAAATAAATAAAAGGAATAAAAAGAAAACAGCAATTAATTATTATGGTTTATTTTTTTATATCATTCTAAAAGGAAATGGGTTCAGAGAGGAGACAAAGAGGATGAAAAAAATTTAATAAGTAAATAATATATGTAAACAGAGGGGGGGGGGAACCAAGATAAATTCAAATAGTTGAGAAGCAATAAGAAAATCATCTCATTAATTAAAAGTCTATTTGATTCATTTAAAAAGTAAATAAATAAAAGGAATACATTAAAAGAATAATAGAGACTTAAAGTAAAGAAAGATAAGAGAGAATCACTTAATATGAGGAGGGAAGTACAAAAAAGTTAACAATTGAGATATTAACAATAGCAAAAAATATTTCAAAAATTTAACTAGGAGACTCATTATTTACATGCAAACTATTGTCCTCATTGTTTAAGCTGTTTTACACACCAGTTTTTATCAGATGTTTGTCAATCCAGGTAACCTTCAAGGAACTTCATACTGAACCCTTTTTTTTAAGTTCCACTGACCATGTCTAGGGGACATCTTGTCTCGTTCTTATTTAGTACTGTTCAGTTGATTAAAACAGTGGTTTTTAAATTTGGTGACATAATAATTCTCGGTTCAATGTCTAGGCTGGGCAGTGTGTACTTGGACTCAGTGGAAAAGGATGAACAATAGCTGAGCATTACTAAATATGAACTAGGTGAGATATTTCTTGCAGAATGATAACAATCTACCCTTGTAGGTAGAAATCCCCTGAAGGCTACGAGGATCAACAAACACTTGAAGGCCAGAGGGTACAACAGCTAAAATGTTGTGATAACAACAACAAAGATGAGGAGAATAGTCTGAGGGTAAATAATGTAAATGAAGACAACTCCTCATCCCAGAAATTCAGACAAAAGGCGATCAGATGATAATAACAACAAAGATGAGGATATTAGTCTGAATTGGTCTGGCATCTTGTCTAGTCACTTTCTCACAGACGTGCCATCGCTTCCCTCTGTGTTTTCTACAAATACTTTCACGGTAACTTCTCCAACGAGCTACTTTTGCTGGTTCCAAAACTGCATGAATTTAAACGTGCTACTAGGTTGGCATCTCAGTCCCACCCTTTCACTGTCAAAACGGTTAAGTTTAGTCGTCCCTTCTACTCCAATAGCTTCATGTCTCGCACTTCCCATCTGTGGGACTCCTTTCCACTTACTTGTTTCCCTGACACCTATAGCCTTCAAATATTCAAATGTAATGTCAATCGACATTTCAGATGCCTTGATCTAATTCCCCGTCCTTCTCTTTATCCTTTCCTCAATCATGTCTCTTTCCTCTTGCTACCACTATCTGTAACCCCTTGTGTGCTAGTGGCACTCCCACCATGCTTGGAGTGAAATACTTACAAAAATAAAAAAAATAATAATAATAATGATAACTCTTCATCCCAGAAATTTGGGCAGAAATTAACTAGACGACATCTGAATGTTTAAAACACAATACTTAAACTGTAAACTGTTAATACCAAAATATGCAAGAGTTGCATACAGAATTAAAGCCCTTCCAAGAACAATGGTTAGAACAAAAATAATAAGAACAATCATTTTTTCTTTTTTGTAAAGTTTCTTTAAAATTTCTAATTAGTAATATTAACTTGATTCTTTAAAATTGCTAATTAGTAATATTAACTTGATTGAAACTGGATAGAAAACCAGTCAAATTATGGAACCAAAGATGAGAATATTAGTTCAAATAAATTATCAAACTTCATGTGAGAATTTTAGTCAACCAACACTAACCTTGTGCTCCTGTAACCTCATGCCAATAATACTGAGGGACTCGCCCAAGAGCTTGAGGTGAGCAGCAGCATCCACAGGTTCAATTCCAAGTCCCTGCAATAAAAAGAATTCAAACATAAAGATAACAGCACGACAGAAAAAAAAAGAAAAAAACAGCACCAACAAGGCATCTTTGTGTCATGCTTTAATTTTATTTACCTAAGTAAATCAATTTCTGATGGTAAGTCTAAAACATACATGAAACAGCAATATCTAAGAGTTCAAATATCAAAGGTAGAAGCCATCACATTAATAAAGCTTAAACTTTCTCAGCAGAGTCCAGAAAAGAAAATTCTTGTTCACATACAAAAAAATATAATAAAAAAAAGACTTAACAAATGTACTTTGTTAATCTTGTTTAACAAAACATGTCTTAAACAAGGATTGCCCCCCCAACTAATATATATATATATATATATATATACCACTATAATCAAATCATATGTGCTGTTGTCGGGCTGTCGATTTCCTGGAAACCGATCTGCTTGACCCTCATACGTTGAATCTCGACAATGAGTCAACTATATATATATATATATATATATATATATATACACATACATAAAGAAGTGGACAAAGTCCGACAATTTATTAAAGACATTTTCATGTTTAACATTCTTTTTACAGATACAAGTATTTAAGTAAATGCTCTGTTTATAATAAACAGTATTAAATAACATTTACCGGCCTGAATGTCCGAGAAATTTTCATAGAAAATATTCGTCCTTTGACAGGATTCAAACCTGCATTCTATACGGAACCATCATTTAGCTTGACATGCCTAACCTCTCGGCCACAAAGGATCATTTGGTTGGCAAGGTCGAATTTACTGCTTATAAACTTCAATCTTCCATGAATCTCGTACATTTTCTATGAAAATTTCTCGGACATTCAGGCCGGTAAATGTTATTTAATACTGTTTATTATAAACAGAGCATTTACTAAAATACTTGTATCTATAAAAAGAATGTTAAACATAAAAATGTCTTTAATAAATTGTCGGACTTTGTCCATTTCTTAATGTATGACGTCATTTGTTTACATTTGAAACGTCATGAGCAGTTATGAATGTACGAGATTCATGGAAGATTGAAGTTTATAAGAAGTAAATTCGACCTTGCCAACCGAACGATCCTTTGTGGCCGAGAGGTTAGGCACGTTAAGCTAAATGACGGTTCCATTTAGGATGCAAACTCGAATCCTGTCAAAGGACGAATATTTTCTATGAAAATTTCTCGGACATTCAGGCCGGTAAATGTTATTTAATACTGTTTATTATAAACAGAGCATTTACTAAAATACTTTTATCCATAGAAAGAATGTTAAACATAAAAATGTCTTTAATATATATATATATATATATATATATATATATATATATATATATGCAGAGGGTATATTTTTCTAACAAGATTTCTTGAATATTCAGGCTGATACATGTAAATAAATAAATATACTGTTTAAATAAATAAATAAAAACAAACCATCTACATAAATATGATTACCCATTGAAAATAACAAGTAAAACAAATAAAATTAAAAAATACTTAATCCATTTCTTATATATATATATATATAACTTCTAATTGATAGAATTTACAAAAACATAAAATGTGTTATTTAAGGGTTCAACTTAAGACAACTGATAAATTTAATTTAGCTACCTCCAAAGGTTTGCTAAAAAACGAACATACATAATGGAAAAATGGGCAAAATTTAATAATTTTGTTTTTCTTGTGTCAACAAGTGACCATAAATTAGTATTTGAAATTTGTGGTGAAAAACACTGACTTGGAAATTCTTGCAAAAAATTAGAGAATTCTTGAAATTTAATGAAACTTTCAGGACTTATTTACAAATGAATTAAATTAATTTAGAAGTGTTTCTTTTTTAGAAAATCTTGATAAAACATTTTTTCCAGTTACCCCCAACTTATTTAATTATATAAAATTTTGAAAAATTCATTTTTGTAGGGGTTAATGTTTATATTAGTTATAAGCACAAGTCTTTGGAGAATTTGAATCATCAATTTCTTTTGTAAAATAAGACTCCTAGTTACAGAAAATCTGCTCTTAATCATAAAATAAAAAATGCAACAAAACCAAGATATTATTTAATTAGAAAAGTTTTTTAATTGCTTTTATGAATAAGATATTAGGGACATTATTGTCTTAAGAAAAAATGTTTTTCAATGAATAATGAATTTTTATAGGAATTGTTTTCATTTTTTTAAAAATTTAATTAGTGTAATTTAAAAGAATTTTGAATCAAACCCTTTATTTAATCTACAAGGGTAGATTGTTCTCATTCTACTGTCCATGTCTCATCATGTATTATTTATGGGTTCAAATATCCAAGGTAGTTGTAGTGAAGACAACTGATAAATTTAATTTAGCTACCTCCAAAGGTTTGTTAAAAAAGGAACATACATAATGGAAAAATGCCCAAAATTTAATAATTTTGTCTTTCTTGAGTCAAGAGGTGACCATAAATTAGTATTTGAAAATTGTGGTGATTTGGTAGGGAATAAAAATTTTTATACAGTGTATAAAACCTCCTTATTGTGAACTTGTTGTTCCCAGTCTTATCAAAAAGATAGTATTCATGATGTTGCTATGATTTTTGGAACTAGATCTTTCTTTCTTTTTTTTTTTTTTTAAATTTCTTTCACCGTCTTTTTATCTGCCTCATTGACACTATAAAATAAAATCTAAAAAAAAGAAGAACAATTTTGATAGAATGGAACCTTGGGAATACTTACTTTGACAGGACTCGTAGCCATATCCTCAATTAGAGATTTTATTACTTTGCTGGCTGGGGTGCTGGGACTTTTGGCCACTGCAACGGGGGCGGTGCTCGTAGCTGGGGCTGGAGCTGCATTTGATACAGATTTACTGCTTCCTTTGCCAGTACGAATCAGGGTGGAGCCTTTGCCGGCTGCTTTCTTAGCCTTCTGCTTCCATGTCTACAAGCAAATCAGATCACAGATGAATTGTCATTGTTCAGAAAAAATAATGAGAGGAAAAAAAAAAACAAACAAGTGCAAAGATGATGAAGACTTTAACAGAATTTTTTTTCCCTCCCCCATATTATCACATGATCGCCACAAACTCATGTTTTTAATGATCCATTGTAATACCTTCTAAATATTACTATCTGCATAGAAGATCTATCCAGGAATAACAAAGGACACGTGGCCCAGTGGATAAAAGCGTTGGTCGAATCCAGTGACTTGACCTGATGAGTTGTGAGTTCAATACCTGGCTACAGAGGTGAACAAAAACTTGGAGAGTTGAGTTAAAAGGGAGATAACTGATACTGAGACATACAAAAGAGGCATGGCACATGGAACTAGAACAATCTACCCCGGTGGATGAAATAAAGGGTTCAGTTTCAAATTCCAATCACCTGATAAGGCTGGGGAGTACAACAGTTGAAATGTTATGAATATGGCAATGCATATGAGGACAACAGTCCAAACAATGTTATTAGTGTAAATAAATCCATTTAATATTAGAAAAAAAAAGATAGTCACCCTTGGACAATGGTACCTATTGGGATGTTATACACTTATCCAAGAATTTTCCAAAGTCCTCTTCCAAGATTGCCAGAGTGTTTCCATGGCAATTTTAGATTTGGGAAAAAAGCTAGAATTCACAGAATTGATTTATTTGATTTTTCACAACTGTTCAACTATAGATTATTTCATGCCAAAACATATTTTGGATTGTAAGAACAATTTTTTTTTTTTTATGGCGATTGATTGAATGATTGATTTGTTCTTTTTTATATCATATCGACCCTTTACAAGTTATACAAATTCAAAAAATATTTTTAGATTGTATGTTTTCATGTTTTGGAGATAATAATGATTTACTGGTAAAAGTCCTACTAATTAACCCATAGCTGGGGGAGGGAGAAGTTGTGAATTCATACCTTTCCCAAAGGTATTTGCATCTGTGAATATAAGAAACCTAACTGGAATTGGAACTCAGATCTATGATTAACAATTCTGAGCCATTATCATCACCCAAGCCTGCACCATGGAGAGGTGTTTTCAGTCTCATAATCAAAGGATTGAATTTTGACCAAACCAGGTGTACTTTTACCTTACAAGACACCTATTATTATTATTTATTGCTGTTAATCATTTACTGTGCCTAATTTATAAATTAAAATTTATCATAAATATCTCTGCATAGGAAAACACACACCCCACATGTAAAAAAATTCTCAGAATTAACTTGTAGAAAAAGACAATATGTATAAAGGGAAAAAAAGACAATAGGAAAACTGTAGTTTTAGCCAACATGTTGCATCTAACTTTGGACTTTTTCAAGGCAAAAAATGAAATAAATTTATTGAAACAAAGTATCTATAAGCAAAAAACAAAATGTTATTAGTAATTAGATGAATTTAGAAATGCTATTGTATATTCATTTGGTCAACTGAAAAATTATGTCAAATACTTTTTATATACGCAACAAATATATCAAGAAATCAAAAGAAAATGGTTGAATCCATCAACACAATACAAAGAATATTTCTACATGTGAAAAAATTCTCTTCAAACATAAAAAGTAATTGACGTCATGGGTGTCAATTTCTGCGACCACATCACCCTTTACATCAGGCAACTTAACTTCCCAGATTGCAATTCCTTTGATTATTATGTGTGGGGGGCAGTTGAGCAAAAGACCAACAAAACTCCTTGTAACACCAAGGATGAACTGAAGGCAAGGATTATGGCAGCATTCACCAACTTAAACTAGTAGACCATCTAGAAGAGATGCAGGAGATTCCAAAGTCATTTGTTTATTTATTTGGGTCAAATTATATTGCTCGTTTTTATTTTTGTTTCTTATTTTATTTATTTATTAAAGTAGTAAAAATTTGTTTATATCACTTATTTAACAGACTTCCGGTAAAATAACCGCCATAATAGAATACCCACAATGCACCACTAACCCGTATATATATAAATAGCCGAGAAAAATAACAGCATATGTGGCCTGACGATTGCATATAGCATGAAACAGACTGTCACCTCTAAGTGTTGACTTCTATGTTCACTTTTATATTTACACACGCTCTATCTCTGATATTGAGCACTTTATTCCATAAATATAGCACACCTTAAGACTATATTTCTTTATATATATATATATATATATATATATATATATATATAGAGAGAGAGAGAGAGAGAGAGAGAAAGAGAGAGAGAGAGAGCACTCAGTACTATCTGCAGTTTCAGTCATCAGTTTGGAATCTTGGAACATAGAAAGGCATGTGTGGCCTAACAATTAACAAAATAGAATCAACAAGTTCAAATCCAGTCAGAAGCAGTGAAAGACTTAAATTTCTTTTCTTTTCCCAGTTATTGGTCAAATAGTAGGGCTAATTGGAATTTTTGTTTTAATACTAAAGTTATCACAATACAAGGTTTGTGTGATATGAATGTAAGAAGAGGTTGTAAGAAGTGATGATTAAAAGCATATTGAAGGATCCTTAACCTTGGCAAGCAACCAGTTTCAGAGAAACACAACTCTAAAATCAAAATCATATCTCAAACACCGGGTAAAGGAGGAGAGTTTGGTGTTGGGTAAGCGACTCAACCCCATAAAATCTTATTTGATACTGAGATCACAATAGTGTCAGCTCCAGCATGACACAATTGCAGGCACATTCTCCATGGAAATAAAAATAATTCTGTACTTACCATTTTCTCTTTTTCTGTCAAACCCTGCCAGATTTCTCCTAATCTACGACTGATCTGAGCAAAATCTAGAAAAAAGAAAAAATATTAATAAAATAAAAATAGTTATGACCTCTGTCCCATAACAGATGTTGCATTTGCATATATATTTCATATATTAAAAGTAACAAATATTACAGAACATTTCCCATAACATGTTTCTTTATCATGAATCTAGTGTACATGTTCAATTTACTTATTATTTAAATACTAAATTGAACCATTAATTTATGTCCTGGATGTACAACAAACTATAGATAGTATAGTTTAATATCTTTTTTTTTAACCAAGTTCACCCGAAGCAAGGCATTAAAGCAAAAAATTACCAAATGTGAAAGAAAAAAAAACGATGATTAAAGAGCAAGAACAATAAAAGAAGAGAAATCAAGAAGACAGTAGATAGTGATTGACATTGCATTTAAATTTTTGAAGATCAAACTTGTATGGAAAGCATGGAGCTGAAAGAGAGTTCCACAGGCAAGAAGTTTGAGAAAAGAAGCTGTTAGCATAGAACTTACAGTTACATCTAACCAGTTCAACTGTAAATTGATGGGACCTTGTTGCTAATCTAGTAGTGCACTTAAATTCATAAAGTCAAGGTACCATAGAAGAAAGTTCATCAGAACAATTACCATGAAAGTATTTATAGAAAAGGCATAGGAAAAAAAATTTTATTATGGTGGGAAAGTGACTGAAGCCGAGATGCCAGGTCAGAACCAATAATATTGCTGATTCTTTGGATTTTATCAAGAATCTCTAAATATATAACAGAAAACACCTTTAAAATACAATCTCACTATGGGAACCATCATATAGAAGAGGCACAGAAAATTTACGTTAAAAACATGGTAGGAAAGTGACTGAAGCTGAGATGCCAGGTCAGGACCAATAATATTGCTGATTCTTCATTGGATTTTATCAAGAATCTTTAAATATATAACAGGGAGCACCTTTCCCTTACAATCTCACTCAATAACCATCATATAGAAGAGGCACAGAGAAGCTAAAACGTTATAATAGTTAGGAAAGTGAAATTGAAGCCGAGATGCCAGGTCAGGACCAATAATATTGCTGATTCTTCTTTGGATTTTATCAAGAATCTCTAAAATATATAACAGAAACACCTTTCCCTTTTACAATCTCACTCAATAACCATCATATAGATTGAAGCACAGAAAAGAATTGTTAAATATTATAGGAAAAGTGACTGAAGCCGAGATGCCAGGTCAGGACCAATAATATTGCTGATTCTTCTTTGGATTTTATCAAGAATCTTTAAATATATAACAGGAATTACCTTTCCCTTACAATCTCACTCAATAACCATCATATAGAAGAGGCACAATTGAACTTTACATTATGGATTTGATTTTGTGATGCCAGATCAGGACCAATATTATTGCTGATTCATCTTTGGATTTTATCAAGAATCTGCAGAAGCACCAGACCAGAGGTGACACCAATATTCAATGCATGGATAAATGGTAGACTTATAAATGTGTAAAATAGATTCTGGTGATAAAAATTGTCTAGCATGACACAGTGAACTAACTTTCTTAGCAGCTGACCTAATAATGAATTCAGTATAGTTTTTCCATTATGTGTTTCTGTTAAATATTTTACCAAGAGGGTTACTTTTAGGAAAATGTTTATCATCAAACACAATACTAAAATTTTAAACCAATTTAATAATCTGGAAAATAAAAATTTAAACCAGTTTAATAATCTGGATCATAATACACGTTCCAAGATAAATATTATTAATGATACTGGCCAATGTAATAGTAGGAATTCTGATCAGTGCCCACTGCCAAACGAATGTTTAACTAAATCTCTTGTTTATCTTTGTACTATCTCTAGAATAGAGAATCCGATAGCTGAAAAATTCTATATTGATAATACTAAGAATTCTTTCAAGACTAGGTAGTTTCAACATATCTTGTCCTTCATCAATACTACTTACAGAAATAATATATCAGTTTCTAAATATGTTTGGAGTTTAAAAGATGATAAGACTCCTCAGGTGAAATGGAAAATTCTAAAAATGGCAAGGACATGTAGACCTTTATATGAACCCTGTTTTTTGTGTTTACATGAAAAATTGAAAATTATCAGATTTAATAAAAATTCTTTATTAAATCAAAGAAGTGAATTAACAGTAAATTGTAAACATAGTTTACCTTTTAACCTACAATTTAATTATGCTTTTTCATATATTTTAGTTGTACTGCATTGCACCATATATTGTTTATCTTTCTATTTGTAAGATTAATTTGGAATTAATATAATTTTGTATTTATCTCCTGGTAATATTAGTAATATCTTGTATGGATGTATTGGTATTTGGTTGGTATTTTTGACATTTTACATTGATTCATTAGTGTTCTTAAGATCTTATATGAAGAATTTTTATTCGACAGTTGCATATTAATTTACCAAATAATCGTATATATTTATTATTTCCTAGTTTTTTAAAGAATTCATTTATTTATCAAATACAAAAAAAAAAAATATGCAGGAAATTCACAAAGCATATAACATGTTTAGCATTTAATTAAATTACCTCTTTATACCCCACTCTTTTATTTCTTAAGAAAATGGATTGTCTGGTTTGTATATTTTATGTAACCATATGTATCCACTTTAAGTTAATGTCTGACTGCTGTTAGCTTCCAACCTACAAGTCTGATCCATTTATATAAAAATTAATTTTTAATTTTTGCTTAGTTTACATTTGATTTGTTGATCAGGGTAAAAAGCTCTTAAGCCTTATAACCTTTCTTTCTTTTTTTTTTTTTTAAAAAAAAAAAAAAAAGAAAAAAAATTTTTTCATTTTTCTTTTTAAACAAAAACAAATTATGGAACCAATTGCCAGTAATTTACAATCACCTGATGAGACATTTTTGATATATATGTTGAAACATTGTGTTTACAATTTTTTTTTTTGTAATATCCTAAAATAAATAATATTGCTCTACTGTGTGTTTTGATCCTTCTTTTTAAATTAAATGCTATGAATGTTGGAATTGTATTCTATTTGTTCTCACCACATAAATTTTTGGTATATATATATATATATATATATATATATATATATATAATATATATATATATATAGAGATAGATAGATAGATAAAGTTCTTAAGAGTAAATAAAGACAAGTAAAAGGTTTGTCACTGAAATGAATTTTCAGTGCAAATCCCTTTTTAAATTTTCTATAATCCTCAAGCACATAGACAGTATTCCAGAATTCCTTTTGATTTGTCACTTGTTCAGGAGGTAATTAAATTTCCTTTTACTTGCATTAATTGCTGTTAATATCTTTTGGGTTTTTATACTGCATTCCTTAAATGTTATTTTCTCAGTATCCCAAAATTTCTGATATAAATGTATATTTTTTAAATATCCCATTATATATATATATTATATATATATATATATATATATATATATTTTTATATATATATATATATAATGGATGGCTACTTGTTTTCTGAACACATCCATCTACTAGAATGGCGGAATTTCTCTTGCAGATGCCTGCTCAAATTACATTTATATTTTGTTCAAAATTTTAAACTTTATCTGTGGTTTATAAACTATGACAAAGACTTTAGTTACTGTTTCTAGGAGAGTGTGCATCAGAAGTTCCAACAATGCCAGTAAGCTCAAAACATCAGTCACATTGTATTTGTGCTAACCATCAACAGCTGCAAAACAGTTCTGGCCATCCAATGTCACTCACATGGTTTGAAATCAACAAATTATGATCTTCAAGTTGGGTAAAAAAAATGCCACATGCTGGGATTGCCTTCAAAGGTTAATAATATTAAGTCATCACCTTTCCTGACAAATCAACCATAGTGAGATCTGAACCCGAGTCTTGTGCTCGGAAAGTCAATATTTTTATCACTTGGCCATGTGCCCATATATATTTCTGTATTACCATATATATTTTTTCAATGGAGATGCAGATAAACAAGAATCGAGTTCTGAAGTTTCCAAGGAAGAACACTAACAGAAGAAAGAGAACATAATACTTTAGCAGGTTAGATAAAAGGATCTGTTGAACATTCTTGGAAGCTTCTTGGAAATGTGAAAGACATTAATGGATTTAGTGTTCAAAACACAAAAAAATGGAGGAAAAATTTGTCCAAGAATCAATGTATAATAGAACAACACTGTTTCTCCAATACTTTTCCATCATCTCTTCCTTCCAAAGGTTAACTACTGCAGGAATCCAAGAGAGACCAAAAAAAATATAAATGACAAGTCAGTTTCAAGAGAAACTGAGGAATTACCTAGTTTGGGATTTTCGGAAACCACTTTGGATCTGTTGGCATTGCACCACAACATATAAGCAGTAGGAGCCCGACGCTTCTTGGCAGGCTGAAACATAAAAAGAGGAAATAATGCATGAAATATAATTGGGATTTAACGGTTTTGTTATACACATCTGATGATAAGAATTTCATGTTGTTTTATCATCTATTATAATAAATGCGAATGTCAGTGTGTCACACTTTTTTAATTTTACTCCTAGAGGTTATAACCCAATATACCATAACATCTTGAAACCAGGTTGACTCCATGAGCAAGTAAAATCATTTCGGGTCAGTTCGGACCCGCAATCCTGAAATTTTGGATTCACAAGTTTTCATTACAGTGATTGTTTTTGGTGATTTTTTATGTAATTTTTTGTGACAAATTTTTTTGTATGATGACAATTTTTATAACTTGGAAATAAATTTGGGAATAATCAAAATTAATTCTGAAATCCAGCAAAAGTCATCCATAAAATAAAAATAATTGTTTGTTCGGAAAGTGAGGACCTACGTACATCATACTGTCTTTAAATTAAATGGCAGCAGAAGAATTATCATTGAACTTTTAAAAGGTAAGCATAGATATTAATGCAATACTTAAATGCAGCAATCAATTTTGAGTTCTTCTGTAGTTTATTGTTGCCTATCACATCTACTCCTCCATTGCAATGAAGGCCCAATCAAGAGCCCTCCACAGGAGCTAGCTTAAATGCCACCTCAGAAATATAGACAGAAACATGGAAGAATATTTACTAGAGTCACTCTGAAGTATCATTCAGAAAGAAACAGTGGAGATATTCTAAAGTCTGAGCAATCTATTGAAAATAATAAAAGGTATATATATATATATATATATATATATATATATATAAAATAAATTAACAAATCCATTGGTATATAATTCAAGTGGATCCTAGTAATACAAAATATTAAAACTGATCCACAAAAAGAGCTCAATTTATTTATTATTAGAGCAAATAATTAATAAATAATAAAATTCAAAAATCACCTCATATGTGGAATAGCCTATTTCAGCAGATGAAGATATTGGTAGTCTGTCTTAATTTTTTTTTTTTTTAAGCTTTCTGTCATGGGTCCTTACCTAGATCGACAGAATGAACTCAGGAAGAGTATATATACTATACCTCTCAAGAGAGACGAAGACGGTAATGAATCGAGTTGAACTTATTGTAGTTCACTCCAAACCAGTCTGACAGTCATACTAACACCTTCCACTTTCTTGTATTATTTTTCGTGTAATATATTCTTTGTTATTTCTACTCTTGTGTTTCGTGTTGTTCTTCCATGGTCCTAACCTTGGACCATAATACTTTCACAGTTAAATTTCTATTTCTGACACAAACTCAGTCTACACCAAGGTTGATAAGTCCGAGGACTGATATCTTCGTCTGCCGAAATAGACTATTCCTCATATAAGGTGATTTTGGATTTTATTGTTATATATAAGCGAAAAAGAAAAATAATCTCAGGAAAGGAATGCATTGGGTTGTGTCCCTTGTTTTGTTGTTATTGATTTCCTTTTTATAGTTGGCAGATATATAAAATATTTAATACAAGTCACATATGTTGTTGTCGGTGTCATTATTACTCAAGACATTATGAGCCCACCTAAGTTATTATAAAACACAGAGGTCCAACCAAACTTCATTTGCACCAATTAAAACAGTTTAAATTTTTAGTATCAGATTTAAATTGACAATTACACTTATAGTCGAGAGAAAAAAAAATAGTACCAGACAAAATTTCTATTTGTTTTTTAAACTAATGTTCACCTAATACAAAGCTCAAGACCTACTAGGTTACTGAATGAGGTATGTGATATGAATTAAAGTGAAGGAAGTAGGAAATGAAGATTATGAAGATATGGTGGATAGATAACAATTGACCTTGTACTTGAAGAGGCTCAAATTGTAGTGCTCAGGGAAGCATCCACATGGGAGTTTATTTCACAAAGTTACAGCTCTTGGGAAGAAGCTTTCTGAGTGGGAGATTCTTTTTACGAATGAAACACATAGGAAACAGGAGCAATTCAACCTCATGTACATTGCAAGATGAGTCTTGCCTGTAAAAGTCTGGGTTGGTAAGCTAAATTTAAACAAATTCTCTTCTTAAATAAACTGTAAACAATTGTATAAAGAGGATGGGAAATAAATGTAGCTTAAAAAAGCAATTTCATAATAAGAGATTTTAGAAATGTTGCGTAACTAGTTTGTTCCAAAACATAGAGATCTAGACCTTTCTTTTTTCCTTCATGGCATCTCAGATGATAGGCATATTTTTTTCTCCCTGAATATCATGTTATTGGCACAAATGGATTATATGGTTCCAGTTGCAGAAAAAGAATCTCTGGGCAGAGTTTAGAAGAAAATTTATAAATTCAATAAAAGAGGGGAGGTAATTCCTATTTAAATAGAATCTGAAGCAAGGGAGATTACTCGCTTCATCCAAATGGCTTTCTTTGAGGAAAATTATAGTATAGTTTGTGTTTTTCAATTAATAGATTTAATCATTTTTAATTAATATTATTAAAAAATATATATTTTTTTAAATCGGAATCACCCCAAGCAACGCAGTAAAGCAACTAAGGCAGAAGGGATTACAGGGTGTAGAAGAATTAGAAACAGAAACATTAATAATGAGAGGGAAGAGTAATCAGGAGGACAGTAAATAGCAATTGACATAGCATTTGAATTTTTGCAGATTAAAGTTGCCTGGAAAGCATGGAGCTGGAAGGGAGTTCCACAAGTGAAAAGCGCAAAAAAAAGAAATTGTTAGTATAGAATTTGCAGCTCAATTGTAAATTAATGAGATCTTGATGCCAATCTAGTACTGCTCTTAAATTCAACAAGTCTCGGTACCATACCAAAGAGCTTATCTGAACAATTAACATAAAAGTATTTATAGAAAAGACACAGAGAGGTTGACAGTTCCTGCAGAAATCCATTAAATTCCGGAAAATAGTACTGTCAGTGGTCAAGAAGTAAGACATACATTCTTGACCACTGACAATCTTATTTTTCCTGAGTTTAATGAATTTCTGACACAATAGGGATATTAGGAGGGCATGCTGAAAAGTTTTTAACCCAAACCACATATATGTGTGTGTGTGTGTGTAATATATATACATTATGGGGGGTGTGGCCAAGAGGTTAGAGCATTCGCTTTACAACCATGAGACATGGGTTCAAATCTCACCATGGTTGATTTGTCAGGAGGTAGACTTACTGATGTTATCATTCTGGAGGAAGCGATCCCAGTGTGCAGCACCTTTGGAAAGTTCCGGAAAACTATACCACGAGTTGACCCAAGCCTTGTGAGTGAAACTGGGTAGACAGAACCCTTGGGGGCCATCAATAACTGTGCTAGCATGAAATCACAAGTCATCATGACCGAGAGTTTGAGCGTGCTGACCTTGTTCAGATTGTTGATCACACTAGATAACATGCTCTCTCCCAGAAACTGTAACTAAGGCCTGCTCAGCATAGTTGCAGTATAAACCACAGGTTGGCTCTGTGGGTGTTGAACAAACACAAATGTGCCTGAGCGAGCATCTGCAATAGGGATTGGCTAGCAGGCATAATAGACAGGTATCCGTGAATAGTGAGTGGCCAGCTATTATATATATGTGTGTGTGTGTATCAAAAATATAGTTTTATGGTATACACTATATTATGGGGTAAAAGTATTCAATATCAGGGATAGAGCATATGTAAACAGAAAAGTGAATACTGAGGCCAACAAATAAGAGGTGACAGTATGAAACAATCTTATTTATATATATATATATATATATATATATATATATATATATATATATATATATAAAAAAAAGGCTGGTTGTAATATTCCATGGTCATAATTTATTCTATTGGAATTAAATATAATCAATTCATCAGACCTACAAATTCAAAAAACAAACTTTTTTTTAGAATTTGTAGGTCTGATGAATTCATTGTATTTTAATTTCAATGGAATAAATAATTTTTCTTTTTATTATATCCTTACTCTGTCCTGGACATTGAGTTCTACCTGGATTCTTCCTCTTGAAATTTTATTCAAAAAATATACATGTATGGGTATTTATATATTTTGCATATGTATGTATATTTACCACTAATATTATATATATATATATATATATATATATATTATCCCTCACTGCCAGAATGACCGTTATGCAATTTGAATTAAAATATATCTGGTTATCACACCCAAATTAACCATCCCTTCACATGTATAGCCGATTACTCAATATATTTGGCCAATTGCAAGTTGGTTTGGTTATTTATTGGGATGAATGGCCGTTGATTCTGAGGAGTTCATTGACCCTTGGGAAAGATATGAAATCATCTCTTCCCTCTCCATCCTAGAGTTATGAGTAAATCACAGGACAGACTGGGATCTATTGCTTTGGGTGGCAACCAATCTCACAGAACAACAACTCTGAATTCAAATCCTGAGTGGTTGGAAACTAAACTGGCTCCCACACCAGACCTTGGTCTGGTAAAGAAGGTAACTGGAACCTCAGCAGTACAAAAAACAAAAGCTCTTAAAGGGTGGATGGAATTATATATATATTTCTTAATAGAAATCTTACAAGTATAGGAAACTATACTCGCTTGGAAAATCTTCAGTGTATTGATTTGCAAATAAACAAGCCAACACCAAAGGGAAAAAAAAGGTATAAAAAAAGAAAGAACCAAGAACATGTATGTTAACCGAAAAAAATCGTCCAGCATACGAGTTCAAGGCCCAAAGAAAAAAAACCCTGATGCGAGTACCCAAAACAACTAAATAAGGTGCTCAATGCAATTTGTAAAAGCAGACCTAGTTAAACCTAGAGAGCCAGACAAACCTACCAAGGTTTCACCTAATGTTTTACTTAAAAATCGTTAGGTTTAACTATATATATATATATATATATATATATATATATAAATAAAATTAGGAAAAGACATTAATCAGTATTTTTGACAAAAAAAACTAAAGAAACAAAAATTGATCTTCAGAATAAAATTTTTCAAAAATTATGCATCAATTTTTTTTTTTCTTTACCTTATCAGGATCATCTTTGGCAGCCTTTTTGGATTTTTTGGATTTTTTCTCTGGAGATTTCGTTTTCGGGGTTGAAGGTAAGGTAGTCACTACTTCTTCCATAACACCAGTTTCTGGGAAAATTAAAATAGGTGTATCAAATATTATTTTATTTTCAAAAAGTTTTCCCGGCAGATTACACTAGTCTTTGTTCTTTAGAAATGGGTCAAATCAACAGCACTCCTCATTTTTAACCATGTTTATCTTTGTGTATGTTATGAATCATGGCCTAAACCATTTTTCTTAAGGAGCGGAATGCTGATTTTGGGAAATGGGTGAGACTCTCAGCACACACACACACACATATATATATATGTGTTATGGAGTGATTTCACGGTGGAGGCTTGTATTTGTATTAAGTCGGTCCTAAAATAGGTTCAACGTACAAAACGTTAGGAACTTCATATAATAGGTATGATGCAGTAATCTAGTTGTGGTCGCTGATACTTTTAGTATCCGACTAACGGTCATCCGACATCGACTGACTGACTGACGAACTCACTGAGCGACTGACTCGTTACTCTTACTACTCCTACTTATTATAGGTGGGAGAGTCTATTAACTATAGAGTAGATGTGTTCCACTATAACAAAATGACAATAGGAAAACTGTAGTTATTGCTTATAAATATTGTCATTTATATTTATAAATATTGTCTTTTCTTTAGGTGAAATCTGATAAATTTTCATATATATATATATATATATATATATATATATATGAGAGAGAGAGATACACACCATAGGAATAATTGATTAAAAATATAATTACACATGAAAATTTTATTTACTAGCTATTTAATTGTTATATGTGCTGTTCAAAATGGCCTTTTTCAAAATACATTTAAATTCCGTGCTTGTATGATTCATTAACATGCCGGAGAGTTTCATCTATCATTTTACTGCATTCATATCTAATTCTTTCTTTAAAATTTTACAATATTTCTTGGGTGCATCTGATAAACAACTGATTTCAGATGGTCCCACAGAAAAAAAATCCAAGGGTGTGGTGACCTGGGTGGACACTCAACAGGACCTCTTTGACCTATCCGTTCCAAAACAAATTAGACATTTAAAAAATGATTAATTAACCTATATGGTGGCAAACAACTTTTCTCACACTATATAAGGTGTGACAATCATTTTTCAAGTTTTTGAATACTTTTACAATGACTGATTTTCTACTCATAGTAATTATTTGAAACTTTCAGATAATTAATACTATATAATAATATACAAAATATTAAGAAATTATCTCAATTGCTAAAGTTTAAATATAAAATTCAGCTGGCCTTATAATTATGCACCACATTGTATATATGAATCGGGATTTTTTTTTTTTTTTTATATATCTCATTCCCTGAAGAAGCTTTAATAAAAACGAAACATGTCAGATTTATAAACATTTTCTATTTATTCTTTATCCTAATGTATATAAGTGTACACTGCGGTCAACACCAAGTGGTGACAGTCTGTCAAGCATGAAACAGACTCACCACTCAGTGTCGACATCAATCTCTTATATTTACATACTTTTTATCCATGATATCAATCACTTTTAATCATAAATATAGAATAGCTTACAACTATATTTTTATCATATATATAAGGAAAAACACAAGGAAAACCTTTTATGCCAATGCGTTACATTCTTGAGGAAGACAAGTGTAAAAATTTTATTTATGAACTTGTATTTAAACATGAAATTAATGTGGCGAAAATTAAAATAACATTAAGTTTTCAAGTTTTGCATTACAGAATGCTCTAAAATATTCTAAAAAATTTCTCAGCCCCCTCCATTTCTTAAAATCAGACAAAATAATCAAATATAAGGGGTTTTCTTTGTTTTTAAGTGCTTTTTGATTAGGTCATAAACTTTTCAGCACTTCCCTATATAAGCAATAGGATCCCATTACCCAGCATAGATAAGTTCCCCACAGATGGTGCAAACTTTTCAGCATATATGGTGGACTCTCCCATTGTATTCAACGTACGAGGGTCAAGCAACTCGGTTCCTAGGAACTGACAGCCCAGATACCAGCCCACATGATTTGATTATAGTGGTGAAGGCTTCATGCAGAACCAACCACAAATTTTGAAGGGCTGAATACAGAGATCAGGTGCACTACATGCCACAATGTCCCCAAACAATGCTCCACAGGTTTTGAATTCAGAGTTGTCCTTCTCCTAGACTAGTTGTCATCCAAGGCTATAGAACCCAGTCTGTCCTGCTATTTACCCATAGCTGGAGAGAGAAGAGGATTAATACCTTTCCCAAGGATATTAGCATGTAACTGAATGTAATGGTTTCAACTGGAATTCGAACTCGCCTCTCCGATTCCTCAATCCAAGCTGCTATCTACTGTCCCTTCTCAGCATAATGATATATATATGAAAGATTAAGCACTCTTCTTAAAAGACGTGTATAACATCCATCTAAACAGTGCTGTTGTTTTGCTGAGAGAGTCCAAGTTTCAGAGCCATAGAGTAAGATTGGCTCAATAAGTATGCGAAAAAGTTGGATTTTGAATTGACAAAAAGATTGGATTTCCATTTCTTATCCATTTTGTTATAATGCAGTCCATGCTATGCCTTTTCTAATGTTGAAATCTTTCTCAGAGTTCTTGATGTGTGATCCTAGATACTTGTAGTCTTCCCCACTAAATTTTCCTCATCTCTTTGCTTCAGTTGTACTATAATTATTTTGATTTCCTTTTCCCATCCTTGGGTTTATCTATTGAGTTATCCTTGATTATCCAGTACATGTGGGCATTAAATCTCCACCAAATCAGTTATGACATAATAATAAACAATTAGATAATCTCTGGGCTAATTAAATATCATATAACAACAGATTACAAAAGATTAAAGAAGTTCTTAAATTTGGATGCATATGCGGATATATGTGAGTTCTGGGGTATGTATGCATGTATAGGGGTGCATATATATAAAAGTGTTAGTGTAGGTATGCGTGAGGAGAGACACACACACACATATATACATATATATATGCGTGAGGAGACACACACACACACATATGTATGCGTGAGGAGACACACATACACACACATATGTATGCGTGAGGAGACACACATACACACACATATATGTGCGTGATAGACATACATACACACACACATATGTGTGCATGAGGAGAACACATACACACACACATATGTGTTAATGAGGACACACATACACACACACATATTTGCGTGATTACACACATACACACACACATATATATGTGCATTTAGGATTGACACATTACACACATATATATGTGGTTTTCATAACACATACACATATATATATATGATGATATAGACATATTTACACATATATATATATGATTTAGACACACATATTACACACATATATATATGAGGAGATATACATATACACACATATATATATGATTATATACACACATACACACATATATATATAAGTGAGGAGACACACATACACACACATATATATGCGTGAGGAGACACACATACACACACATATATATGCGTGAGGAGACACACATACACACACATATATATGCGTGAGGAGACACACATACACACACATATATATGCGTGAGGAGACACACATACACACACATATATATGAGAAACACACATACACACACATATATATGCGTGAGGAGACACACATACACACACATATATGCGTGAGGAGACACACATATATACATATATATATGCGTGAGGAGACACACATACACATATATACATATATATATGCGTGAGGAGACATACATACACATATATACATATATATATACGTGAGGAGACATACATACACATATATACATATATATATGCGTGAGGAGACACACATACACACATATATATATATGCCTGAGGAGACACATATATATACATATATATATATGCGTGAGGAGACACACATACACATATATACATATATATAGGTCAGCCTTATACCCTATATATAATCATTATATAGGATTCAGTATATCCATTCTTGGGTAATTAAATTTTACTACCATTTGAAGATTTCCTAATATTTAACAAAGGGTACATAAGTTAATACAAGAATTTAATAAGTAGAGTTTAAAGGGTGATTTCCAGTTGGCGTATGTATGTATGTGCTTAAATGTAGATATCTAAGTGTATGTTAGGGCAGACAGCTGTAAGAGTAGGTATTATTAACGTGGACAAATGCATGAGAATGCATACATATATATCTAAATTCACTCCAAATCCTTAAACCCCCCCACTCCAAACTTTGAACCCTGATATATGGGTGAGTTTAAGACTAATAATTCCAAAATAACACTCTTTCATTTTACCAAAGTTAACTCTTGATTGTTTTTCTCACGTTTTCGTTAATCTCTGTGAAATCCCGTCAAATTAAATTTTGACTGCGTGACCATTAGGATGTAGGTTATCCCATCGATAAAAACCCCCTCCCTCCCCAGGCTCTCCTACCTCCATAATATGATTGCAGTAACAGTGCCTTATTCTTCTCTCCATACCTCCCAATAAGTCCCCTATAACATATTCGCTCTTTCTCCAAATAAACAGTACACTACAAACCGATACCATAAACAGTTTGAAAAATCCTGTGAATTTTAAAATTAAAATTCATAGGTCAAAATGGTCATTTACTAAAGGTATCTTAATTCCAATTGTAAAGAAAATTTGCTCTGTTTAATGAAAATAAACATTGAGCGATCTTTTGTGAGTCAGTTTTAAATTCTATGTTGTGTTAATAGGACTCACCTGGATTATACCAACAGATTACTACCATTATGTATATATATATATATATATATATATATATATATATATATATATATATATATATATATATATATATATAATAAAAAAAGAACAAATAGGAAACATATATCAATCTAACATGTTTCACTTTTATTAAAGCTTTGTCAGAGATTAATAGAAAACAGACAAAAAAGATAAAACCTCTGGTATTTTAAATTTTGTTTGAGTTAGTTCTCATTGGTCAGTCACATATGTGGATTAAAACCATAGATAATTCTATATGTACATAAATCTGTGAAGATTCTTGTATGTCTAAGCAGGCATCAGATGGTCACAACATTAGAACTCCCACTAGATAGACAGACAGACAGACACACATACACAATCACAAATACACATTACCATCTGATGATCACTTAGACATAAAAGAATCTTCACAGATTTACATACATATAGAATTATGCATGGTTTTAATGCACATGATACATAACTGACCAATGAGAACTGACCCAAACAAAATTGAGAATACTGTCTTTTTGTGAGTTTTCTCTCAATTTCTGACAAAGCTTTAATAAAAGTGAAACATGTTAGATTTATATACGTTTCCTATTTGTTCTTTATCACCTGTTGAATTCCAATCTGCATTTGATCTTTAACTCATTGTCTTTCAAGTTTATGAATTTGAATGATATAAATTATAAATAATTAAATATAATATTTTAGGCAACAATAATTAAATAAACAAGTCTTAACACACAATTTTAAATCAACACCATGAGAACATGAATTCTATAACAATCAGAATATCCTCTAAAGATTGCAAAACTGCATGAAACTGAGAACCATCATATAGCCTGACTTGCTATACCATTTAGCTACTGGTCAGTACAGTTAAATTACTGTTTTTGAACTACAAACTTCCCAGGCTATATGAGAGTTCCATGAAGGATACAGTTTCGATTCCTGTCAGAGGAGACATATTTTCTTTGAAATTTCTCAGACAGGCCAATAAATGTTGCTAATACTGTTTATTACAAACAGAGCATTTACTTAAATATTTGTATCTATAAAAAATAACGTATAAACAAAAAATATATTAAAATAATTGTCAGACTTAGTCCATATCATTATATATATATATATATATATATATGCATTCATACCTCGTTTTAACGAATAAAAGCGGGGGGAAACATTGGTCCAGTAATGTTGTTTGTCCATAATAACCAACACTGAAGTTGATCGACTCAAGCTTTTGAGCTAGTTTTCATCTTTTCCACACTCCTCCAGACAACATAGTTACAGAAAATGATGAATATAAAACCCCTTAAACACACTGGCATATAAAAAAAGTGGAAAATCCATTGAGCAATGACCTAAATGTGCAGTTACACCCATGTAAACAAACTGATGGCTCGCCGATTAGTAGTCAGCTTGTGAAGCAGCAGCTTGTATCTAATGTTGCCACAATTCCATCCATAGTGCACTGGACCAATTCAGCTGGCCCAGATTTCGTCCATTACCTCTACCAATATCCATTAAAGAGAGGCCCATAATACTGAGGTATGGGTGTGTTGTAACTTAGGGAAGGTTACTGAACAGAATAAACAAATGAAGGTTGGTAATGAACGATAATACTTAGGACAAGAACAATACATATAAGATTTACCAGCAGTGTGTAAAAGACGTAGTCAACTGCTAGAAGTGAGTCAAGTGAATTCCACAATGAATCTCCAACTGCAGACCAACATACAGTATTTACTGCTGTATTTATGTGAATGGGAACATACCCATTATTATCCATAGGTATGCTACAACAGGGTGTAGCATGATTTGAATAATGGATTAATTAATATATCAAAATGTTTTAACTTACCATCATCAAAAAATTCCATTTCTACTTCAGGGACTGAAAAAAATTTTAAAAAATAAAATAAAAAAATGTAAATAACATAAGTAAAAAAAAAAATTATTTTCAAACATATTTATATACAGCAAATTCTTTTTCTTCAATGACGGCTCTCCACAATTTCCTATCCTTTGTAGATCTTACTAAAGTCTGCCCTGGTTCTGCCATCCATTTGCAACAAGCTCATTAGGTAGGTTATGCAATGCTTTCCTCTCTTTCTCTGGTTTTCAATCTGTCTTGTGACTATCAAATTTTCCAAGCCCTCTTTCCTAATTATGTAGCCTAGGAATTTCAACTGTCTCTTTTCGAGGCTAAAGATATACCCTTTTTGTTTCCATTTTCTCTAAAACTTCATCATTGCTCACATGTTCAGTTCATGGTATTGTCAGTAGCCTTCTTGTAGAACCACATTTCTGTTGCTTAAGTCTCTTCTTCCTCTGGGTGGTGATTATCCAAGATTCCATAGAGGAAGACCAATATTACATAACAGTTCAGTACTCTTTAAAGTTAAAAACATGCAACTTACAGATAACTTGTACTTATGAAAAGACTGCAATAAAGCCAATTATATTAAAATATCTGAATTAAATACATTTATTACCAATAAAATCTTGAAAGTTTTAATGAAAACATTGCAGAGCTTCTAAACTGTTTTCTTTAATTTGATTTTTAATAGAATGTATACCTCCAAGTGTAAACAGATTTTTAATATACTGTATACCTCCAAGTGTAAACAGATTTTTTCATATACTGTATACCTCCGAGTGTAAACAGATTTTTAATATACTGTATACCTCCGTGTAAACAGATTTTTAATATACTGTATACCTCCAGTGTAAACAGATTTTTAATATACTGTATACCTCAGTGTAAACAGATTTTTTAATATACTGTTCCTACCTCATAGTGTAAACAAAAATTTTTAATATACTGTATACCTCCGAGTGTAAACAGATTTTTAATATACTGTATACCTCCGAGTGTAAACAGATTTTTAATATACTGTATACCTCCAAGTGTAAACAGATTTTTAATATACTGTATACCTCCAAGTGTAAACAGATTTTTAATATACTGTATACCTCCAAGTGTAAACAGATTTTTAATATACTGTATACCTCCAAGTGTAAACAGATTTTTAATATACTGTATAGCTGTATACCTACACTCATACACAGATTTTTAATATACTGTATACATACACACATTCTTTCTCTCTATTCCTACCTCCCTTCAGTACATTGTTTTTTTTCGGTTTATTGACCCTTCGTGGATTATTTAGAGTTAAAATATATTTTGGATTGTAAGAATAATTCTTTTTACGAGTGAATATTGCTTTAACTTATTTTTTTTTTTTTTTTGAGAAGTAACAATTTTTCCAGATACAAATCCTACTATTTAACCCATGGCTGGGGGAGAAGAGATGGATTCATAACTTTCCCAAGGGTTTCAGCATTCAAAATATCTAAAGAATCTGCTATAGAGCAATATTAAGTGCACTAAGTTCAAGACTATTGCGGTTCTGTGTCATACTAAGCTTAATAAATATATGGGCACCATGTTATGGTTAGCAAGCTTGCTTAGCAGACTATTACAACTATTTTTTTTATTAGTTTCACCCCAAGCAAGGCAGTAAAGCCACTAAGACAGAAGAGGTTACTGGGTGTGGAGGTATTAGGAACAGAAACATTTATAATGAGTGGGAAGAGGAAAGAGTAATCATGAGGATAGTAAATAGCGATTGACATCGCATTTAAATTGTTGCAAATTAAACTTGGCTGGAAAGCATGGAGCCAGGAGAGAGTTCTACAAGCAAGAAGTGTGAGAAAAGAAACTGTAAGCATAGAATTTATGGATACATCTAGCCAGCTCAACTGTAAATTGAGATCTTGATACCAGTCTAGTACTGCACTTAAATTCAAAAAGTACCATAGCAAAGAGCTCATCTAAACAATTATCATGAAAGTGTATATATATATATATATATATATATATATATATGTGTGTGTGTATATATATATATATATATATATATATATATATATATATGTGTGTGTATATATATATATATATATATATATATATATATATATATATACATACATACATACATACATATGGAAAAGGCACAGGGAGGCAACCTTATTGTGGTGGGGAAGTGATTGAAGCTGATCAGCCAGATCAGGATCGATAATATTATTGATTCTTCTTTGTTCAATTCTCACTTGGTGGCTCAGAAATGTGGTCATTGGTCAGATGAAGCAAAAAATAAAATCTTATTATCTTTATAACCATCATTTCAGAAAATTAACAGAGCACAATCAATTTAGACATAAATAACTTTTACTTTTCAAATTTCTTTCCATTAAAAATTACACATTCAAATGTTTTATCTAATGATATTAACAGAAGAAAAATTTAAATTTAGAAGAAATAATTTAAAAAATAAAATTTTTTAAAAACACCATCTTTGTCTACTAGAACTGGGCTTTAATTTTTTTTTTTTTTAAATGACATGTCCCTTCAGGATATGGGTGATCAAGACTCATCCTCTTTTCTGATAAACCATAGCTGCATCAATTGATACTGTTATGACCCTATGCTTCAAAAGGAATCTAAACGAATAAACATTACCTGAATTATTTTTTTTTCTTTAAAATACCATTTCCCTTTTTTTATGCCTGTGGGGAGAATGGAGGAGATTACAGAACAGTATTCTCTCCTTGTGCATTATTTAAGAAGTATGTTTTTGATTTTTTTTTTATTAAATTATTTCACCCCAACCAAGGCAATAAAACCACTAAGATGAAATGGATTACTAAGTGTGAGAGAATATGAGAAAAAGAAAACATTATTAAAGAGAGACAACAATAAAAGAACAGGAATTAAGAAAACGGTAAATAACGATTGATATTACATTTAAATTTTTGAATATCAAAGTTGACTGGAAAACAAGAAACTGGTAAAAACTTTCATAAGTGAGATGTGCAAGAAAAGAAATTGTTAGCATAGAGCTTACGGTTACATCTAGCCAGCCTTTTTAACTGTAAAATGATGAGACCTTGCCACCAATTTAGTATTTTGTTTAAATTCACAAATCTAAGTACCAAAGACGAAAGCTTATCAGAACAATTACCATGAAAATATTTATAGAAAAGACACAGAGAAGCTATGTTACAGCAGTGGGAAAGTGACTGAAGCTGAGATGCCAGGTCAGGATGAATAACATTGCAGATTCTTCTTTGAATTTTATCAAGAATCTCTAATTGCATGGCAGAAGCACTAGACCATATGTGGCAGCAATATTCAAAGCATGGACTAATGGTAGATTTATGAATGTCTAAGATAGACAATTTTTACCACCAGAAACTATCATGACAGAGTGAACCAATTTTCCCAGTAGCAACTGATTAATTATAATTTTTCCACTTTATATCTCTAAATTGCTGGGACTCTTGGAAAAGTTAATGAAGTGGTTTTCTATTGCCTTCTCCATGATTTAGCATTGAGAGTTTTCATTCCCTTAGATTGATTGAAAGGCATGGTGGAATAATGGATAGTGGCTCAGATTGATGAATCAGAGAGATGAGTTCAAATAGCAGTTGAGTTCATTACATTCACTTATTTGATTATCCCCTTTTGAAAGGTATAAATTCATCTCTTCTTCTCCCCACATCTATGAGTAAATAGACAGGGCTGGGTACTATAGCCTTGGGTGGCAACTGGTGTGGGACAACTCTGAATTAAAAACCTGACATCCTAATGTACAGACTGAAGGTCACCCACAACATATTTGGTTATTGGTCAAGAGCTTGGCAAGGAGATGGGTGCTACCAAGCTATCTGAAAGCCCACTAAAAGGATCAATGAAGAAGAAGAATTAAAGTCAAAGTTTCTTTTGCTCTCAGCACCTACTTCTCCACGATTAAAGCAGATGAAAGTTTAACAAAAAAAAAAAAAAGAAAAAAAAAAGAAAAAAGACTGATTGCCACCCAAGGCTAGAGAGTCCAGTCTACCTTGTTACTTAATCCATAGCTGGTGAGAGATAGTCATTAGTGTGAAAGTGAATGCAAGAGACAAGGCCAGAAGTTGAATTCTGCTTGTCAATTACATTTGTAACAAACATAACCATGACACCACTCCCGTGAATTTCTCAGATTATTAAATGAACCTATCACCTAGTTCACGTTCCTTGAACAGGTATCAAGATTCATTTCCTGATTAGGTTTCTGGTTTCTTGTAAAGTCTTCTCATTGTCTTTCACCCCTTGTGTTTTAGTGGCATTATTGCCTTGATTGGGGTGAAATGATTTAAAAAAAAAAAAAAAAAAAAAAAAATTTATTCAAGCATAATTAATATTTTAACAAGCATTTCTTTTATCTTAATTTCAGTTAGTTTTTCAATGCAATTACACAAACAATCAATAATAATGTGTGTCATAGTTACAAGTTTAACCCATAGCTAGGGGAGAAGAAAAGATTGATTCATGTCTTTCCAAAGGACATTCGTGCAACAGTGAATGCAATAAATACGTTAGGCAGGAATTTAAACTCAGCTTACTGATTCCTGTTTCCATGCTCATAATGGCTACACTGCCCACTTCAATGGAGCATCTATTTTCCTATTAAAAAAAAAAAAAATCACGAGAAAGACGTATTTATTCAGATATTTTTAGGGAGGGTCAATATTTGAGGTTATTTTAACACATAAAATAAATATTCAGATTTCTTTTTTTTTTTATCATCATAAAGGTTTTAAGCATGACAAGGCTAAAAATAGTCCCAAAATTAAGCATACATATTTAAGAATGACATGAAGTATGGATTTTTTTAAAATGCAACTATTATAAAAGACATAGATCTAATAAGAATCTTGCTGGAAACACAGTCATGTCACCGACATTTTATAGTAGTATACTAGACAGGTGGAAGGGTTCACAGTCAATCTTCCAAAATAACAATAAAATGGCTACTATAGAAGCTATTTTAATATACCATTTGA